TATATATAAACTCTGCCTTTTGCTTTATATATATAGATTATTTATCATGAAAATAAAATAAAATAACATCACAAAATTAAACAATCAAAAATAACAATATAATATAAAAATATTATTCCATATAAAATTTAATATTCAACTATTTTTTCTGCATGCTAAAAATGTCACGTTGAATTTAACATCTAGCCATGTCTGCCTGCCAATGAGTTCAGTCCACGAATTTCTTAAATAAAACTAGATTTGAATTACTTTGATGGCATTTTGTGACTCTCATTCTGCATTATAGTATAATAATATAATACGATTTAACTCATATAGTATGAATACAATTGTCTACTTTTTATTAAAGAAAATGTTATCATAATACCCCACCTTAGACACTTTACATTTCAATTTATAGAGAGGACAGCAAATCCTAACCGTTCACCAAAGCATGGCACGTGGCAAAATCAAGAGTATCCAATTTTAAGATATTTATTATTAGGAGAAAATTTTAGAAATGTCACTTGTACTTATATATAATTTTGACAATTTTAATTTGTCACGCAAAGAAAATCTTAAACGAGATGTTATTTTAATTTATCGAAATTCCTAAGTTAGAATATGTGGCATGTAAAACACACGCAGAATTTTGGATAGAGTTACAGTGCCATACGACAAATTAAGCATTTTGAAAAATTGAGATGTGAGTTCTCTTAAATATTTGTTTTACGATGATGAATTGTAGATGAGAAATTATATAAGGTTTTCCCCTTCCTTCAAAAATCAAACCACTTTTAACCTAAGGTTATATTTGAGCGGGCGACAGGAGAGAGTGAAGTGCCGAGGAAAATAAGTTTCGCACCAGCGCACTTATAAATACCCACCACCATGCACCCAACCGTCTCACACCATCAAAACCTCTTCTCATATTAATCTAGCTCTCCATCGTCCCGTTTCCGATATAATACCCAAAATACCCCGCCATGTCTGAAGAGAAGCACCACCACGGCCTCTTCCACCACCACAAGGATGAAGACAGACCCATTGAAACCTCAGACTACCCTCAGTCTGGTGGTTACTCTGATGGAGGACGTACAGGCAGCGGCTACGGTGGTGGTGGTGGCTACGGTGGTGGTGGTGGCTACGGTGATGGTGGTGGCTACGGTGATGGTGGTGGCGGCTACGGTGACAACACTGCTTATTCTGGTGAAGGACGTCCCGACAGCGGCTACGGTGGTGGTGGCGGCTATGGAGAGAGCGCTGATTACTCCGATGGCGGCCGCTACAAGGAGACCGCTGCATATGGCACCACTGGCACCCAAGAATCTGAAATTGACTACAAGAAGGAGGAGAAGCACCATAAGCATCTTGAGCACCTAAGCGAGGCCGGGGCTGCTGCTGCTGGTGTTTTTGCCCTGGTATGGATTTAAACACCTTTTATATATGAATCTTCTAATTTTGTTCTTGATTTTAGTTATATATTAACCTTAAATGTGAAGGATCACAGCCAGAAATTCTTACATTTTCTAGGCTCATCTCCCAATAACTAATTAATCATACATAGTAAGCAGATCATTGTATACAACGGTTGTATGTAAGA